AACTTCTCTGTCTATGTTATATTTGAGGAGCGAAAGGTGAGTGAAGAGGCTCCCTGAGATTTCTGAAAAGTCCCCTAGAGGACTTAACCAAGACTTTCCCCCTTGGGGCTTTTCAGTGCTGCCTCCTCCTGAGTGCCCAAAAGCAAAGTGAAGAGAAAGAACGGGAGGCAGCGGAGCATCTGGGGTTGTTACCTTCTAACAACAAAACCAGAAATGTCTTGCTCGTGCTATGGTCTGAAGTTGACTTGTTTGAAATTAATCATAGTCCATGCTCACCAAACTATGTTTGTTTGTTGATCTGAAGAACACAGCAAACTAACCAGAAGTGGAAAAGCACTCAGACTCCTCTTCCCAATCAAGCCTAGGGAGGAGGCAGTGGGCTCCCCATGGATTCTTTCCTGCTAATTCATGTTGCACTAAACTATGAGTTTTAGCGTGGCAAGCAAATGCTGCCTGAGAGTGCGACAGAACCTACAAACTGATACTCTGTAAATCACATCCAAACAGGATCAAATTATTATGTGTTCCAATCAGATACTGCTCAGGAAGCAGACAATTCTCTCTTCTCAGAACCAGTAAAATTGGGGAGGTGATTGCAGATCCACAGCATGCCTAATCTCTGCTGAAACTGCAAACAAGGAGGGCCAGTTATTGTCAATAGGGCTGGTGGTTTCTGCAAGACAAGCACAGATCCCACAAGGAAACTGGACCAAGAGCTGCCAAACTTGTTTCACGAAAGGTATCAGACTGTAGCAATTGACATTACTTCTAGTTCTGTTTGAAGGCAGTTCAGACTCCTATGCAAAACAGTAAATCACATTTTCAAACACATTCACTGTCAGCTTAAAACAGTTGTGTATAGACTGTTATGCTCTTATATCTGGGGAAGCGAAAACCATAGTCCTGTGTACACTGTCCTGGAAACAAGTCCAAAAGAACATAGTGAGATTTATTTCTACTTAAATAACAGTGGGCAGCACAGAAGAAGCGTAGAATTTGGTTTTTATCAGAAGCACAGATATTATTAGTCCCATGAAACACAGTTTTCAGGCTCATAATTCCCATCAGTAGCATACTTCAATATGAGAGAACCTGTGGCTGGAGAAGGGAATGTTTTTAGCCTAAGGATTGCACCAATATCAACAATACAAGGCCAGATTTCTTCAGATGCGTTGGAAAACATACACTGAGGCATTCATCAAATCCTTGCACAGATATGGTTCTACATCCTAATTTGCAAGGGTGGTTTCATGTGCAGGAACCACATTTTGTACACTCAGTTTCTAAAAATCTGGACTCTTCAGAAAGTCCTGCAAACTGGATAGAAATAATTTCAGAAAGTTGTGCAGCTGCATATAGGTCAACTAATTAGTCAAAGTAACGATGATGTTTTGAAATTCCTTAGAATGCTTCTTCAGGCTGGATATTAGGCCGAGAGGGAGAGGAAGGATGAGAAAGATGTTCCTAGGCACTGTGAAAACCCCAAATCTGCACTTATAAGATGGGGTGTGCGCAAGGTGTTCTGCAAACTTGCAGGTACATATGTTAAGTCCTACTGTGCTGAATGGGACATACATATATTTGCAGCCTTAATTAAGTTAAATGATCATTGAGTACTGGCCATGATGGCTGGGGCTTAGGGAAGTTCTACTCCAAAGTATTTGGAAGGCACCAGGTTGCCTGTCCCAAAGCTAGACCGTGTGAGGTGCAAAACAGATGTAAATATTAAACTGAAGGTGATGAAGAGTAATGTTTATTTAATTATTATATTTATATCTTGCCCCATCTCCAAGGAATTCAAAGCAGCATATACAGTTCTTTCCATTTTATCCCCATCACTCCCCTGTGAGGAAGATTAGGTTGAAAGGCAGTGACTAACTCATTATCACCTAGTGAGTTTCATAGTTGAACCGAGATTTAGCAGTGTGCTACTCTTGCAATGCTTTGTAACACTACATACAAAACAAACAATAGATGCTCTCCCTTTGAAAATATAAAATTAGTCATTTGGCTCTCTTTCTGTAGCTCTACATGGAATTAACCAAAGTGGAGATCTGCTTTAGCAGTATATTATGTATATAAATGAAAAGCATCCAATTATCATTTATTAAAATACATAGTAGCTTTCCGACAGAAGTGTTTTGATACATTTTAACAATCAAATGCCATACCATTGTATGGTATGGTACATGTGAATTTTTCATTTTTAAAAACTGCATATAAAAATTCAAATCTTACTTAATTAGATTTCTAGCAGGACTTACAAAATATTGTGTTAACTGGTGTTAACACTCTATTTAGAGGAGCTCTTTGGAGCTACAGAGGTGCAGAAAGTATTATGCTATTTTTCATAATACTATCTTGCTGCCTCTGACTTACCTACTCTGACTAGATCTTCAACCTTATTTAAAAAAAGGAGGTCTTGTGAAGCTATAAATGACCCAATAATCACCACCTTATCTTACATGATTGTGTACAGACACTTTTAAAACAGAAGAAAGTTGCTACAGAAGAGGCACACTGGAGTGGTTCAGATTAAAGGTGCATTCCTTCTTTAAAATTAAAGTAGGTTACATACTCGTCCACAGTGAGAAAGTTTGGGCAGATGGTATCTTTACTGAATTGATAATATAAATACATAATATAAGACATAGCTATCTTTTTTCTGAAGCCATAATCCTCATAGGATAACACTAACAAGTTATTAGCTCCCTCGAAGGAAAATACATCAGTATATGAAGGCATTTCATTAGCAGACATCTATAGGTGAACCCACAGAACTATTACTATCACTCATTCATTTCTATATATTGCAGTGTAATCTTAAATAAGTTTATTCAAAAATAATCCCAGTTGAATTCAATTCACTTCCTTATTAACAGTGCAATCCTCTATGTGCCTACTCACAAATCAGTCAGTGCTGCTTACTTCCACACTAGTTTCTATAGGATTTGAACCTCAGTAAGCCTGCACTGATTCATGGGAAAAGTACATAACTTGGTGACTTATTTTCAGCTCTTTTCTACACCTTGCCAGAGCTCTATAAGCGAGTTGAAACCTTGGCCGCCACCCCTGCCTCAAAGCAGCTAGAAGTTCAGCCTGAAAGCAAGTCAGTGTCCTGCTCCCTGCCCCCACCCCCACCCCCACATTGGGTCCCAACACAAACGTAACTCATTTAAAAGGCTCCTGGGCACAGTTAAGAGGCAATCCCTCCAAAGAAGCAGGTTTTCATTTGGGAAGTTAAGAGTTTCATTTGCTCAGCAACCTGAAGTGCAATCCAGGTGCTGTTTTCTAGACAGCTATTCCCCTGAACGGTGCAAGCTCTCACATGTCTGGGCTTGTGTGAACAACCATACATTGAACCCTACAGAGCCATGACCAAACAGCAACCTGCCTGCAAGGCTTCAGCACAAGCAAGTGGCTTCCAGTACAACGGACATTCTTCTGCAAAGTCCCAAATGTCAATATCAATGTGATTATTATTAACCCTAACCCTGATTCTTCTGAATGGTCTCCCCTCAATAATAGCATATCCTTATTCACAAGAAAGCATATCACCTGGAAGTAGCTTTACCTTTTCCTGCATCAACACTGCCCAAGCTCATTTGGATGTTACTTCACACAAAGCACATACCTGCTCAAAAACATTTTACTTTCGAAAACTATTCAACCTACTTGGAAGGAAAAAGCACATCACAGTCCTGACCTAGTCGGATGACCAATATGCCATGGCTTTTATTTATGACAAGATGATATGAAGCCCTGCTTTAACTTATCTGCCCTCTGGTCTCATGTCTTCCTTATATCCTTGTTAATCCATTAACACTGTAAGTCAAATGCCCATAACTAATCAGTCAGAACTGTATTTCTCTTCCCTTCCTGATGACTGAATCAAACATCTTGGTCTTTCCAATGTCCCCTCGATTTTTTAGTTTAAGGTTGTAACAGCTCCCAATAGTAGCACTTTTCCTTCTTACATACATGCCAGAACTGTGCTATTTCAAATGTAACTTTCCTAAATACAGCGTAAGTTTACACACGCATTTGTTTTCATGCACGTGACCAAGGAGTGAGAAATATAGCATTACGCAAATATCACACACAAAGGTAATTAATTGAGGAAATGTGTTTGTGCAATCCATGAGTTGTCAACACCATGCCCTGGTGGCCTATGTACAAGCTGCCGGTATGTACACTCACAAGGAGAACAAAATGCTGTTTTAGAAGACTTCCTCTGATACATAATTTTAAAAGGCACCCCAAAAGTTTGTGGAACAGGTCCTTATTGCTCAAGAGACAAAAAAGACTATATAAACTATTTTTATACAGAAACAGATTTGCTGTATTTTCATTGGATCCTACACTCAACCCGTCTTGGAAGAAGTACAGGCTAGTTATAACCAACTGGGATAGACAAAGTGTAAGTTAAAAAAGGGGATTAATCCGGATCGGTTACAGGCCACAGAGTTCAGAATTTAAAACTGAGAAAACTGGGAATGGGGCAGAAACCAAGCCTACTTAACATGCCCTTGCTTATATTCCAAATGGAAACCGTAGAAGCCTGTTATTCTTTTTTAAGACCTTGGGCTTCCACCAGTGTCTGCTAAGCAAAGAGAAAGTTGTCCCCAAAGAAGTTACCCCAAGAGGCTCCATGGATACAGACTGGATGCAGTGTCCTTCTCCAGAGACAAACCGCAACAAGGCACGGCCAAGGAGAGAAACGGGGAGCGGGGAGAAGAGGAGAGATGGGGGGGGGAATGGGCTTTCCCTCTAGACCAGCAGTATAGGCGGGAGAGCGCTCGCAGTTTTGGTCTGGGGGAGGCAAACTATGTGAAGGGGCAGGGGGCGGGGAAACGGCGGCGCGCAGCCCCGACCCCCCCCCCGCGACGCCCCGGACAACTGTGTGGCGAGGGGGCGCAGTGGAGACCAATCCTCTCCTTCCTCTTCCCAAGAAAAGAGTTTCCAGGGCCGGGGTGGGAGCGCTTTGCTGGCTTACTTACTCCGTGCCCCGTCCGGGGAAGGGTAGGTGGCGGTTCCGCCGGTGTAGCCGGGTGAGGCTCGGATTCGGTTCGGGAGAGAAGGTGACAGGGCAGCAGGAAGAAGCGGGGAGGGGGCGCTGCAGGCTGGCGGGCTGGCTGCTGGAGGAATCCGCCGCGCACCGAGGGAAGCTAGCCGGGAGCCGACCAGGAGCGACGGGAAAGTTTGTGCGAAGGAGGGAGGAGCAGAAACTTGGAAAGAGAGAGAAAGAAGGAGGGAGGGAAGGAAGGGAAGCAGGATCAGCCCCCGCCCTTCTCGCGGATGGACAGCCTCCTCCCCCTCCACCATCGCCGGGGGAGGAGACCGCCTTTACGCGAGGAGCGGGTCCCTCTCGCCCTCGGAGGGGGGGCTCTTTCTGCTGCACGCAGGCCGGAAGGGGGGCTGGGAGGAAACGAGATGCATTTACTGGAAAAGGCTGGGTCGTTATGGACAACCACCTCTAACGAAATGGAGAGGGCCGGGGTGGAGGGAGCGTTGCTTTTTCCTGACAGGACTCTTTGCAGGAGGGGCGTGCATGGATCTGGTCTGTGTGCGAGCGGCTTAGTGAACTGCTACGGAGCTCGGAGGGGCGCCCTTCTTCGCCGAGGGAGCATCTTTATGCGTGGATAGCTTTAGAAGGGGGGTCACATCCCGCTTTCACCTCCAAATTCGTTGTGTAATCTCAGGCCAGGCATGTAACCCATCCCAACGGGCAGTTTTGACACAGATTGCCGAGAGGTCCCAGGCGCCAGCCAGAGCTCCTTGGACGAAGGAGGCTATATAACAAAGTGCGCTGAATAAAAACTGGATCCGAATGAGAATTACAGCGATCTGTAAACCGTCCCGAGAGCAATGTGCTGAAGGAACGGTATATAAAATAAATAAATATTACTATTCGTGCGGCTGTATTCCTATATGAGGTTTGACCTCCCTGTAAACATGCATAGAAACTGGTGTTTGGGGGAAGAAGGCAAAACGAGTTTCCTTTTACTCCCGGGCGGAGGCAATCCGTGAGATAAATCACCGACCGATTTTTTGAAATGTCTTTGCAAAAAGGGATGGGTGGAAGCTGTGGGGTTGCCCCTTTCGGAGGAGCTGCAGCCTAGAAAGTCCTCCTGGGCAGGCATAACCTGTCTGGAACAGGTTGGACGGGTGGCGATTGCCTTGTCTCCAGCCCCGGGGGAGAAATGCAAGGAGGGGGGCTGGAGACCCGCCTGCTCGAGGGGGAGAGAGAGTGTGTGTGGTGCGGGGAGAACAGGACAGGCTGCTTGGGAACTGCTCTGAGAACTACCGTCGGATCTCCAGAGCAGCCCCTGCTTTCAATCTCAGCCTCTGCACTCGGCTGCTGATGTCACAATCCAAGGAGCGGCTGCAGCTCGCCTACCAAGCCGCCTCGGTTCAGATTTTCCACCCCTCGCGCTCAGCCTCCCGCTGCAGCGCCTCCTAGAGGTTGCGGCCCCTGTGCACACGCTCCTCAGAGCCATTTAATGATAATCAGCCAAGCCGCAGTCAACAATAGAGGAAGTCGGTCAGACGTTTGAAATCTTATTTTCTTCCACTCTTCGCCAAAGGGCGGGCAGCAGGAAACGGATCCGACAACTGCGAGAAGTCACCTCGCACTATTTCGCTGCCGACCCCTCTTCAGATGAAGCAGAAGGGGGTGATGCATCGGGCTAGAAACAAGCAAACACAGTGAAGCTGGTTCTCTGCCGACTGGCATCAGTTGGCCTGCAATTGCACACTGTATTGTAAAACAGATTGGAAAAAGAAGCAGAGTTTATGCCACAAGTGTTTAAGCTGATCTGTTACAAGCTAGGCCATTCATACCCTGCCTTTCTCTCGAAAAGACCAAATCAGCATACGTTACCTTCCTTTTCTCCGTTTTACCCCCAAAACAACTTTCTGATGTAGAATAGGTTCAGAGACAGTGACTAACTGACCCAAAGGCACCCAGTGAGTGCAGCCAAATGGGGACATGAACCCATGTTCCAGTTAAACACGAATCACTATCTCACACTAGCTTTCTTGGGATGCTGGAAAGTATACAGGCTTGGATGAGTTTCAAATGCCACTCTAGAAATGTTACATCTGAACAATGAGAAAGGATGCCTTAAGGTGCTATCCTATGCAAATTTAGACAGAAAAATGGCCTGCAGCTCCCAGCATGCCAGAGCTAACCTGCCTGGCTTGAGCATCCTGGGAGTTGCAGGACTATTTTGTGTCAAAACTTGCACAGAATTGCACCTTTACGGGGCAAACCTATATAGCTCTTAGTGCCTGAGGGACCATAGGATAATTCAGATTCACACTCCAAGGTTGGAGAAAGCACTCTAGCTTTGGAGTTGGGAATTGGTGCTCAGCCCCCTTCCCTCTTTTTGCAGCTGGCCTGGAAAGAATTGTACCAGCTGCAGTCAGAGGTCTAGAAGAGATCTGGGAGAGGTGGAGAACCGGGTGTTTTGGGGAAGGAGAGGAGTAGCCCTGGTATGAGCTCTACTGACAGTTGTGCAATCTCCTTGGAGACTCTCTAGCTATTAATTGGGCGAAAAACGCCTTTCTAGTGAAAATGCAGGGTGGAAAGAGAGCAAGGCGATCACCCCTTCTGCTCTTGCTACTCTGCACTGGTTTATCATTAACCTCCAAGCAAGGTGGTGCTGAAAAGGGTCTGCGCATAGGACCATGGAATGGCACCTTCATAGCTTACTTTTCTGCAGTTATTTCCCATTACATTTCTACTCAAGGTTGTGTGTTGTACTCATGTACTGCTTGTGGGTTTCCTGTGGAAGGCTGCGGGGACACTGGGTGAACCGAATGCTGGATTACATGGATCCTTAGTCTGCTCCAGCTTGGCGCTCCATTCTTATGATTCTTCTTCCAGTGTTTTGCCTCTTTCCACAACACTGCCCATTCTCCTTTTCCATCCCTTAAGCCTGAAGCATTCACCCTTCTTTCACCTCTCAGATCTACACAGGGCCGTAGTAGCAACATTAGGACTGGACTCTTTTCAAGAACATCCAGAACATTCAGCTTTCCTTTAAGGGAAGGGGAAGGGATTAAAAATGCACTTTCCCAACCCCCTTTATTTGTGGAGATGTCCTCTCCTCACTTGCTCTGTAAAATATAGATCTGCTCCATGCTTCTAGTGTCCCGACTGATACATGGAAAGGCACTGGGGGTTCACTGTCAAACACAAGGGACAGGTTTAATTTTTCTAAGTCGTAATGTGCTATTAATGCAATTAACTGACTTTAAAACATGTAAGCCTAGGTATAAACTTTAACTATATTAGCTGGAGTGAGGATTCACAGAAATTTTAAATATATTAACCTGGGTTTAGATTTGACTTGTTTGGTATTGTTCCTTCCTGTCCTCTCTCTGAATATGCTTAAGCGCTTTCATTTCTGGCCGTAGTCCTGACTGAGCTTTTGCCCTCAGTCCTTATCCTGAGCTGAAATACAGCCTGTGGCTGATCTCAGGGAAGGCTTTCATCGCATTATTGCCATTGCCTCTTTTGGGGAATGGCATGTGTCTTCTACGCACAACCTTCCACTGCTTCCTCTATGCTTGTTTGTACCAAAACAAAAACGAAAAACTTTCATAGGAGACAGAGAGGGAAAGCCTACAGCGTGGAGCATGCCTTAACCCTAGCTGGTGATGCTGGGTTAGAGGCCTCTTTTTTCTCTATACATGCATTGGTTGCACCCTAAGGAGAACAAGGTGGAACAGTGATGCAGTGCCTTCTAAGTGTTAGCTCTAGGAGTCCTCCGTGTAGAAGCAGCCAGCGAAGGTTGCTCAATGATCGATTGCCTTGGTATCTCCCGTTTCCTCCCCTCTCTGTTGTTTACTCCAGGATGTGTTTGTTTATTGAATTTATTGAAAAGCCACCCATTAGCATCATGCTCTGTGCTTATAGTCTCCTTGGATAGGGGCTTGTCCTTACTAACTAAAATACAATATATACTGATGGCACTGTATAAACACACACATAGAACCAGTGCATCTCCACTCAATAAGGGGAGTGCTCCTTACCTCCTGGCGCAAGATCCTTGTGGAGTTCTCCAAGAAACTCCTCTGAGAGGGGATAAAGTGCACCTTTTATCTTTACTGCTCCCTGAAGTCTTCCTCAGCAGTGTTATACAGCACGAGACAGTTCAGCTGTGGCCTCATGCTATTCTGGAGCGGTCCTTTCCCTTGAAACAGGGAAGGGAGGCTACTTTCCTCCTGATGTTCCCCTGGCCACTCCAAATTAGAAAAGTAGAAATAGATAACCAGAAAGTTAACACATGGTAAGTATTTTCAAGTTTAGGGCATATTTTGCTTAGATCCTTTCGGCTGCTCAGCAAGCATAGAACAGTGTATTCCCACGACATAATGCTTTGAAAAAACATTTTAAAAATATTAATGACATGGATCCATTCTCCTAAACATGACACCAGAATTTTGAGTTACTCAGTGGTAGTGATGGGTTATGGTGTCAGGATGGACAAAGGAAAACACGTCTTCATAAAACACATTTAACTTTGGGGACTTGCACTAAGACTAAAAGGAGTGTTCACTCCTCCCCGTGCACAAGGTGGGGAAGCCTCACACCCAGGACCCATGTGCCACTGCCGTGCACACCCTCCATGTCCCTTGGCAGTCACACATTCAGGCTTCATCTGAAGGGGCCCTGTATATGTACAGATGTGTGCATACATGAGCTCCTTCATGGGGGTGGGACCTGCAATAGCACATTCATGTTGACAGTGTCCTTGTCCATCACCAGTTGCACTTCCACGGAACTCTGAAGTGGACAGGCAAAACTGTGTCCTTGTGAAGGAAAGGGCAACTGACCCATTTGTGCACTTCAGAAGCACCCAAAAGGAAAAGAAAAGCCTGGGAATGAATTCAGGACATTCCTAAGCATCCTTCCTGCATTGGTGGAAGGATGGACAACATTCACTGAAGGAGGCTGGAGGTGGCACTGAGAAGGGCAGGTGTTTCACTGCTCTCATCATGTGCCGCTGCAGGGATGCCACTGACAAGCCGTCCTGCTCGGTTCAGAGATCATGGCAAGCCACACTGACAACAAGCCATGGATTCTTAAGATGGCTTCTGTGCGGTTAACAAGCAGCACAGAATGGTCCAGGCCAGCTTTGGTTGTCGTGACAAGCTTTGCTGACACAAGCAAGTCTCACAATCTACCCTGGCTAATCATGCCACCTGCATTAGATCACTAAC